TACTTTAAGTTTCGGGTCTTTACATGCTTTTTTTAGATTTATATTTTTTCATTTGTTTTTTTTTTTTTCATACATCCTAAATATATTTGGCAAATCTATGTAAAATGCAATATTTTTCCTAATTGCCTATGCTTGAATACGTTTGAATATAAGAAAACACAATTTTTTGCTATTTGGCTGACATATGTGTTTCTATTGTCCTTATACTGCTTATTTTTTTATTTTTTTTTTAAAAAATGGAGAATTATAAGTATTGGTAAAGAAAAGGTTGGTAAAATATTGCCATAAAAGCAATGTGCAGCAAAGAAATGATAATTGCTGAAATTTTAATTGCTCAGTATCTTATTACTTGAAATTGTGTTAATTTTTTATTGGAGATACCTAAATAAATGATAGACAAAATATTGCTTATACTTTAAAAAGGAAATAACAAGAAGTGGTTAATAAATGAGAAATTTCTTAAGTTATCTAAAACACTTCTTATATGATATATGTTGTTCTAAAAGAAAATAAAATTTTTGTACTAATAATGTCAATTGATTTTTTAATTTAGCAAGCGAGATGCAATAAAAGAAAGTAGAATATATAGTAAAAGAGTATAAGAACATCAATAAGAAGAGTGTTACATAAAATTGGGAACGCCAACAACACCCTTTGTAAAAAAACACAACTTTTCGTGAGTTTATAAGGGAGAAATCATTTCGTAAAAAGATATATCTCTTGGTGAGCATATAAAGGAGAAAAAAATTACTTATGTTAAAAAAAATAAGAAAGTAGATAACACTCATAAAATATATATTACTATTCTCTTTCTCACATTGAGTTAAACTATAAATAGACTTGACTTTTTGAGTGTGAAAATTATCTGAAACTCTAGTAGTATCTGAGAGAAAATAGAGGCAGTCATAAACATCAATAATTAATTATTGTTGACAAAAAAATAAACATATTATCCTATTATTTCTGCATTAAGATTAGTTTTAATTTTATAACAGTTATATCATAGCTTATTTGCTTGTATATGATTCCGTAATAATCATGCTCCAATATGGATTAAATTTATTGATTTTTTTAAAACTTGATGATGAATTCAGAAAACATGTTATTTTATTTTTTAAGAATCTAAAAAAAAAAAAAAACATTATGTGACTGGTGCCTTTGACTTCCTCTAACTTGCCTCTTGAATGCAAGTGTTGAGATGGATAAATATATATACGTGTTTGCATGGCTGTGGTCGCCTGACAATTAAAAAACTAGTACTTTGGTTTTCCGACAAAGGCATTTAAAAAGAAAAAAAAAAATGGAGTTTTAGCCTTGGGTGAAAATTAAAAAGAAAAAAAGAAATAGAGAAAGAAGTTGTACTTTGTGTGCGTGAAAAGGAAAAAAAAAAAGAAAAACAAGAAAAAGAGGATGATGCACTATGTGGTGCGTGAAAAAAAAGTGCACTATGCGTGCGTGAAAGAAGAAAAAAAGGGGAGAGGAAGAAGGAGATTGAAGATATATATACACACCTATATATATAACACACATATATATTAAAAAGTATGGCCAACTCTTGCAAAGGAAAGATGGACCCTTTATTTTACTATTTTTTTCTTTCCTCTCTCATGATGATGATGTCACCTATTTTGTTTTTCTTAAAAAAAATCATAAATGTTGAGAGTAGGATTTGAACCAGTCACCTTTTAGACCAACACCTTAATTTAATAATTTTCTACAACTTTACTAGCACAACATACACATGCATATTTTTGTTTTTGAATTTGGTTGAGAGTATGGGTATTTTAATAGTATTCTATGTATGCATATTATTTTATTTATTTAGACAGTATGTTAGTATTTTATTATATTGTTCTATCATTATTGTACTAATGTGTATTAATTACTTTATGTACATTAATTAGTTATATATATTTTGTTAAGTAAAGATAATTACATATATTCACATGATATTTTTTTATGTTAATTAGTTTGGTAAAATTAAAAGGTTACATGGATATATACCATTTAATTTTTATTTTGTTATGATAATTAAATTATCATATTTTTAATTTGTATCATATATGATAATTATGAGCCTAGCAAAGTTTCGAACATGTGAAATAAACAATAAAATTTTGATAATTTAATTATAAAAATAATATATAATGTCTATTTTTTATATACTTATAGAAATGACAATCAAGAATATGATTACTAATTTATCAACCAATGAGAAATTGGATGAGATAAATTATGATATATGGCATAGGAAGATTCGGTATCTTCTTAATGAGTGCGAGATTTTAGAAATCTTGACCACTACTGTACCTAGGCAAAAAAAAATCGGTAGTGACTAGTACAATGAAGATCTGGCTGCATACTAGAAATAGTCTAAGAATGATCATTCTACATGTTATACTTTATTGTATTGCATACATAACGATCTCATTGGAGAGTTTGAGAGTTGTTTTACGGCCAAGGATATGTGAGACAAACTTAAGGTCACTTATAACCAGACATCTGCTACAAGGCTTCGTGTCTTAGATTTAAAGTGGATAAAGTATGAAATGGATCCAAAGTACAGTATAACTGAACATTTATGTGTCATGCGTGCTATGATTCGTAGCCTTAAGGTTGGAGGACGTGACATAAGAGATCAGGAGTAGGTTCTTAATATGATTCGTTCACTTCCAAATGAACCTCAATGTTAGAAAATTTTTAAACTCCTAATGGTTCATAGTGAACACATTAATACTTTCTCTGAAATTGATAGATACATTGAGATGAAGGTTGAGCGTCAAAGGCGCTTAATCATTTCAATGTGGTGCTTGTTGCCCATGGGGTAAGACCCAAAGGAAACAAGTCTAATCATGTCAAGTAATTTAAGAAAGGTCAGCGCCCCTCTCAAGCCAATGGACCTAAAAGTGGTGTTGCCAAACAACATAAGATTAAGGGCCATAGAGAGAAAAATATAACGTGTATGAAGTGCTATAACTACGACAACAAGGGTCACTTCGCTTTGATTATTCCGAGCTGAAGAATGTACCTTTTTCTATTTTGCCCCTTGATTTATTTCTTTGTTCTCTTGCATTAGTTGCTAATTCTTTTCTTAATCGGATTATAGACACGAGAACAAGCAAACATGTAGTTCAAGATCAAGATAGATTCATGGACTACCATCATGTCTTGATAGATTCGCAAACTATTGTATTGGGCAATGACAATGAAAAAGATATTGTTGGAATCAAAACATACCAGCTCAAGCTACATAGAGAAAATACTTTACTCCTTCATGATGTTTTCTATGCACCTGAGGTGCGATGTTGTTTACTTTCAGTTGTTTCCTTGTTGAGCTCGAGTTTTTTTTTAAAAAAACTTTAAACCTGGTACTTTAGGCATTTTATATCATGACGATGTATTTGGCCATAGGTCTTTAAGAAATAATTTTTTTTATTCTTGACTTAGATGATAATATATATAATAGTTCTATGTTTTTTTATGTTTCTCACTTTGATTGTGATTCTAAATATATTAAGTGACATGCTAGACTTGGCCATATTAACCAAGATCGAATGAGTAGACTGGGTAAAGAATGTCTTTTGGACTAGCTTACTAAGGTTGAGTTGCTTAAATGTGAGTCATGCTTAGCTAGTAAGGCGAGTAAGAAGCCTTTTTGATAAAGCTTCATGGGTGTCAAGTCCCTTATAATTAATTCATTATGATATTTATAGGCCTTTAAATATTAAAACACATCATGGTGCTATATACTTTTTCACTTTTATAGATGACTATTCACGATATAGGCATGTGTATCTACATCCTTAGGGGTTGATAGATACTTTCTCACTTTTAGATCATTTACGTCCTTAGGGGTTGATAGCCTATATGCATAACCCAATCCACAAACACAAAAAATAGGTCCAAGAGCAATTAAGATAGTGTTCATCAGATATCCCGAATATTCAAAAGGATATGTAATAATTGGAGAACACCCAAATGGTGACATGACTGAAATTAACTCCCGTAATGTTGATTTTCTTGAGGATGAGTTTCTAAAAATTGGTGAAATAAAATAAAATCTCGAACTATATGAGTTACAAGAGGATGTGAACTATCTATTAATGAGATGGAGGTATTGAGAACCTACCAAGTCATCAAGGATAGTGATATTCCACCAAATGAAAGAGATAGTGGGAGTAATTCTACTACTTTAGATTATGAAAACTTGCCTAAAAATGATAATTCACTGAAAAATATGGTTAGTCATCAAGATTCGAGCTTGGAACATGAGGTTAGTTCTCAATACTCTAGCCATCTTCTCCTCCTCCAAAAATCTCCTTCAAGACTCTAGCCAGAATCCCCTGTTTCTTCTTCTTAAAAGAAATTCCCTCACAAAAAGCTTGGGTCTTCACTATGTATTTTTGGTTCTGCTTGTTTATCTACACAAACTTGGGCATTCTGAAAGTTCTTTTCCTCCCCCTCAATTTCGGCTTTGACAAATAGGACATTTGTCTTGGGTTGAGTTTAGAAATGATCTGAGTTGGGTTTGTTTTAATTTTAGCCTTTGGCTAGAATAAGTTTAAATAGGGTAAGAGAACAAGTTAATTTTCCTTTTTAAATGGGTTAAGAGAACGAGTTAATTTCCCTATTTATTTAAATTTCCATTCTTTTACTTTTTTTTTTTTTAAAAAAAGGCACAGAATAAGACCCAATGAAGAAATTGAAAAGAGGACGTAACTGATGAAGAAAAACTGATTAGGAAGAATATGAAGTAACTGAAAAGGTAGATGATTAAACAAAAGAAAAACTGATGAAGAAAAAGAAAAGGTAACCGAAGAATTTCCAGCATGTATAGTTGATCTGTCCATGGACCAGCAGGCATAATCTCATGTGCATAGAAAGGGATAGCGACACAAATGCAAGTTCTTATACGAGAATAGAGAGAGAAATTGATCCTTTTGCTAATTGGTGTCTAAAATTTTTCTGAAACTAGGCTGGCTATATTCACAGTTCACTTTTCAGCTAACAAAAATTTCTAGAACAGTCCAGACTAACGAAAGCTGAACATTATTGAGACTGTAACACATATATTTTGTTCAAATCCCACATCACTCTCATTACCCCAATCTTCATTTCGGCCTCCTCAAAATTCGTACCTGTGTCCTCTGAAGGATAAGGAAGCCCCAATCTTCTATCAGCCTTCAGCTCCAGGATATCCACAATGCAAGTCTCTGATTCTTCTAAGCTCCTTCCATACCATTTACCTTGCACTTGGTGTACCTTCCCTCTAGCAATCTCTTCTCCTTGCCCATCGACGAGCACAAAGTACTGACCTGGCTTGCACTGGACAAATTCTGGTGCAGAGTTGTTCCCGTACTGTGTCATTACCTCAGACATTTCATGAGGGGCCATTCTAGACGAGCTTCGAGTATTGATACCTTTTGTATTTGTCGGATTTAATGAGAGATTGTCATCACCAGGACTGCTAGGTGATTCACTTAAGCTCTGTCGCCCTCGTGCAGTTTGCTTACTTGGAAAAGTGTTGTCAATCTCAGGAGCTGGACGAACATCCTTACTGGCACGAGCTAGCCTGGCTTTCCGGTTATTGAGCCTGTTTATCGTATATAAGATGTTTAAATCATCAAAAAGTGAGTTTTCATAAAGCAAAACTTGCAAACTGAAGTTCAAAGAAGTGGAATTATGAAGGATACACAAACAAATTTTTGGTGAGTAACAGCCCATTGCGAGCAACTTACTACTCAGCAAGTAAAACCTAAATATTTAAATGCTATCCTTTCTGGAAAGAGAAAAAGAACCCTTAACGACTATGAAAAGAGACAGCCTGCTCACCAGTTCCGCAGCTGTGATGATGTAACTTCTGAACCCTGAAAATCATAAAATAGGCAAGAAAGGCAAACAGTCAGTGTTCATAGAGGTAACAAACTTCCGTAAACTCACAAACCTGCTGTCTACATACATGGTGACTCAACTCATCTGCCCATGCTTGTATAGAAGCTGTATTGCGCTGCATATCAGGCTCATCCAAAAGGGCCCTCTCCATCAACATAATCTGTTCATCATTCATTATAGTGCGCTTCCTTTTCCTCCGTTGCTTGTCATCCTGGACAGTTTCAACCTTTTCATCCTCTTGAACTCCCCCAAACCCACCTTCTTTAAAATGCTCCTTCAATTTGGGAAACTCACCATTAACAATTCGATCAACAGAATTCTTTCCTCTTGTACAGCTTGTGTCCGAACCACTAGTTTCAACATTTTGAACATCTCTATCATTCTCTCTTGAAACTCCAGATGCACCACATCTATCTTTATATTCTCTTCTCTCTTGCTTTGTGACATCATTGCCTACTTCCATTTGGTTGCTTCTAATACCAATTTGGTTTTCTTCTGGGAAAGCAGAACTCTCTGAAATTTCCTCTTTTAGATTAGCATTCCGATTATTTTGATTTGGAGGTTCTTTTCTCTGAACAGATGAGGAGCACCCACCGGTACTTTGAGCATCCTACCGGAAATTAAAATTTACCAGTCAGGTTAACAGGATGGCTTAAAAATATATCAAATTAGAAGACAGAAAGACAAACAGCAAGCTAACTACAAAATTTGCCAATAGATGTCAGATCAGGCATTTTACAAATAGACCATACAATACAAATGTGCATATCAAGATATACATATTGCTACTGCAAAGGCGAAGTTTATGACTTGAATTATATTTACCCCATCTTGTCCACTCAAGAACTTTCAAAACTTGATCTGCAGCCAATTACAAAAGTTTATCGCCACTGACAAGGGTGGTGTATCAGGTAAACTTTCAGACCCAAAAAGAATCTAAATACAGGAAAAACTTAGAAACATGGCCATGAAATATGAACTGTAAGTAAAATAAATAAAGGTTAACCTGATAATGATTGCCAATATTGAGTTTAGAGAACTTCTCCCAGGAAACAGAACCCTCATATTTGCTCTCCTGAAGTTGTTCCAGCAGCATTGTTAACAAATTATATAATACTAGGGAAAATAACATAAATGTGGAATATTAAGATGAAAATAATTCAATTTTGTATAAGGATAGAAGAGTTTTACTTGAATTTGAGTTCCTTCACCTTCAGCAGAATCAATCAATGATTGTAATTGGTCAAAGAAAATCCTACAAGAAAAGCCTGATAAATTAACCAGTGTGCGACTCATTAAAACAGACACTTTCATAATTTATTTACATCCCACTAAAACAGATAATATTGCAATTTATCGCCTTTTCTTGAGTTCTTCGCTTAGCAAATGAATTGCACATGTTTATATGCAAGGATGTAAATGACAAAAAAGTGAATTAAGTAATTCTTTATTCAATTTAGAAGAATATGAATATATTACTAACTAAAGTATGTTCAATTTAGTCCTATGATTTAGCATATAGACCATTGAAGCATTGCATCTCATCATGCTTTTTGTCGGCTTCCCTTTTAGTTAAGACATAACAGGGACACCATCATACTGAGCATATATGAACTCCGTTTGTGATTTGAGATCCAAACATATCAATAATTTGTTAAATGTGCAAAAACTCAACGATAAGGATGTGTATCAACTGGAATTAGATAGGGTTTATCACATTGCAAGGATGCAGTCCCAATGTAAATCCTTTTTCCTTCCAAATTTTCAGAACTACCTCAATCCATGTAAATCTTAGTCTTGTCTTTCTTAGACTACCTACTTGAATCAAATCATGTATAAGTATTGATGTGTCCTTGGGCCAGTGTGCACAACTTCAAAATTAAGTAAGATACAGCATCTTAGTTTATATTCTCCTGGTATTCTATTAATCTTTTCACGAATGAGCTCTTCATTTCATCTTCCAAAGGACCCTAAATATTCACCTTGTCGTTACAATTCAGCTGCAATATATTTTTGTAAATGTTGCTTCTTCATGGATAACACTTTTCTATCCTACGTCATAGCTATTCATACATTGGTTTCTTAGAAACCTTTCCATTAGCTTGAATAGTATTTTACAGCCAAAATGTTCTAGTTGTACTTTTGCATTTCATTTAAGTCGATGATTCACATCTTCCTTACTTTAGTTTTTCCTATTATTTACTAATGGATCCCAAGTTGATGAACTTTAGGAACTTCCTACTGTTGATCATAAGCTTATCTCCCTTCATAATTTTGTTAAAACAGCACTGCATACATCTCTCTCCTCTTAGTTGTATCCAGCCTAATACATATTGCCCTGACGATATCAGTCAAATTCGTTCTTTTAACTAGTTTGAGATATAATTTGCAAATAAAACCAGTAGGAAAATCTTCTATCTTTGAGGTAACACTCTAGAACCACTTTGTGGTTAACTTTTATAATCTATTAGAATTATAGAAGGAAGATAAAAAGAAGAAATATATATACATAGATATATATATATGATGATGGTTAATCGTAAAGTTCTCAAATATCCTCGACCTCAGTAATATCAATTGCTTCAAATATTTATTTCCCCAGTAATTAGTTAGATTTTATAGGTATGAAACATATCCACAGCCAACAAAAAATTAAAAAACTCTTCCAAAAAAGACAACAGATTTCCACTTCCAAACTCGTCCAAGAGAAATTACAGAAAGAACTATTGAAACATTCTAGGCAATTCTTTAAAAAATCAAGGAAACTGTTTAGATTTTTTTAGGTAGAGAAAACTTAAATTTCCATTGATTTCGCTTTAAAATTAACAACTTAAAGTGTTTTTAAATAAACTTACATCGAATTCAAATTTTCTAAAAATAATTTTTCATAACTTAAAAAACAAACATTAACCAAATCTTCTAAAAAATAAATTCTCATTAATAACATGATGTTTAAAAAATAAACATGTTTTAAATCTAATTAAAAATAAATTTTATTTGAATTCAAACTAAAAAATAAAATAAATTATAATTTCTACAGTAATCTTCAACAAAAACACTAAATGAAAGATTTAAGGTCATATCACCTCAAAAGCTGCAAATCATCCTCATTCAAAAAAGTAGGGATCAAAGATTCTGCGTGGCTTAACAGCGAACCTGCAAATATAAGTTAATCCTAAAGATAAAAACAAATGCATTCATCTTCATTTATCAAAATAAAGCAGGAAGAGATATACAATTGATTCAATGCAAAATTCATCGATAATAGATACTCACGAAGGTTCCTGCATACAATAGAGGCTCTCTGTGCACTGGAGGTAAATGAAAAACTAGGTAACACCTCCGATGGATCCATTCTCAAACAACCTATAAACTTGTGAAGGAAGAGATTTCTCTCCTGCTCTGTAGAGTAGAAAAAAGACATTAACTTAAGTAGACAATTATAGATATAATTCAAGCTCATTTTACAAATTTCCAAAATATTTAAAAGGGTTCACCTTCACAGATATTGGGAACGAAACAATGGAGATTTGCAATTATTTTAATAAATAATGATGTTCTCTGATGTACATAGGAAGACTGTGACATATTACTGGGAGTTAAATTAAATTCTAAAGTTGATGAATTTGCTCGGTCTGATGAAGAAAATAAATCCAAAATCCATCCAGTTGCTGCAAAGGAATCATATTCCAAGGTAGCATCTTCTTCCTTGACAGGGAGATTCCCAGAGCACCACATGGACAAGAAATCTCCATGAGATAATGAAAATATAGCACTGAGAACTTCAGTCTGTCAGAACACACAAAAATTCATAATCACTGATCCCTTCATGATAGATGCCCTAAAGGAATAATTAGAAAATATCTTTATGCTATCTTATCCACAGCACAATTCAATCCAGCACCAACTTTGCAAATCATGCATGTTTAAAAAATAAATATATATTCTGGATCCCTTGTTTTCCAGAAAATCAGTAATTTTAGCCTCTAAAATATTCAGAATTATCATTGATACTGCAGTCTCAGAAAGTTAATGCAATAATTTCGCAAATATGTTAAGTGATCAATGGAAGAATTTAGCCACTAGAGTTCTTGTCGAAAGCAGAAGGCTTTGGCATTTATTTCTTGATTCTGTTGGAAGTAGAAAATTATGCCATTAATTTCCTGAATCTCTTTAGAGTATTACATGTATGTATTGATTATTCAACTATTTGAAACTAGGAATGCTCTTAAAAGAAATGTATGTTCTTTCCTAGCTTAATTGGCAATATGTAAAGTACTGTTCAGGGAAGCTTAATAACAAAGAATCACTCTTCATTTATATATTCTGTCTCTTTCATTCTCTCAGTATATATGGTATTAGAGCTGGAAAATACAAGCTAATTCTTTTTTTCTCTCTTCAGTTTTCTGCTCATTCCCATGTTTTCTCCCTGACAGTCTCAGCTAAAGCAATCCCTAAAAACACCATGACTGACATTACCTCTGAATTAGCCACTGTCCCACTATCCTCCCATGTTGCAACCTTGTCAAAAGACAATTAAATCCACTCCAACTCCAAGTCTCACTTTGTCCAAATCACCACTATTCATTTGGATGCTGATATTTCTTAAAATAGTCCCAATTGGTTTGTATGTCATTAGGAACATCAGTTCCAAAATAACATTTTTTGATAAGATACATCAAAGAAGGGGAAAAACAAGGAAAAAGTAATGATGTAATCTGCAGGTGTTGTTTTTATTTCACCGTGTTCCTTTCTTTCCAAATTACCCAAATGGTAGCCAAAGGGATAAGCCTAACTTTCTACTTATCTCTTCGGATGTCTCTCCATGCTCAAAACTGCTCTCTGACTATGTCGTTGATAACCCAATTTAGATCCAAAAAGTTATCAACAAGAGAGCATAGACAATGTGCCAGTGAACATCCTAGAAGAAAGCCTATCACCAAGAAAGCCCATATTAGCATGAATGTCTCTTTTCTAGAGAAGACCCCTCATTTGAACCAAAAATCTCTTCAATGGGAGAAATTAGGCGAAAATAATTTTCAGGATGTGTCTATTCCGCTATCTAATTCAATCCTTGAAACTTCATCTTATGACTATCACATTGTTGGAAATAAAGAAAACTTGAACAAAGAAAAAATGAGGATCCGAGTCAAGAAGAGTCAAATATAGGCGTATCTACATCAGCAGGGAAATACTACAAAAGGATCATAATAACCTTCATTCTAAGCTTATGGTTTATACTAGAAAAATTAACTCATGAAAGAAATAAAGACCTAGCTATTATCCAGGTATAGAATCAACTCCATCCCCCAGTGATGGTTCCTAAAATATTTCAGGTTCACCCATTCAAATTTTAATTGTAGCTCCTACCTCAATTTCTCTCATTTCAAAACTCGACATGCCTATGGCTTTAAGAAAAGGAATCCTGGCTTGCAGAAAATATCCTATTGCCAAATATATCAAATACAACAAATGTATGAGAATCATAGAAAATTTATGTCAAAAATCTCACAGATATTTGAGCCTAGAAATATTCAGGAAACACTAAGGGATCTGAAGTGGAAGGTAGTAGTGCTTGAGAAGATGAATGCTCTCAGGAAACTTGGGGGATAATTGATTTGCCAAAAGACAAGAAAATCGAAGATTGCAAATAGGTGTCTGTTAATGCAAGGCTGATGAAAGTGTGGCTAGATAAAGGTAAGATCATCGCAAAGGGCCTTGCTGACCTATGAAATAAATGCAAAAGTGACAAAGAAATTGGAGACTATTCAGTGCAGGTAAAATCGGAGGGTAAGAGGAGGTATCATTTGGCGAAGTGGGGGAGATAAAAAAACCTTTATCACAGGGGATTCGGGTTTGAGATCCTTTATACAGATGAATTTAGCTCTACAAGGAAAATGACTCTGGAGGTACATAAAAGAGAATAGTAGACTGTAGTGGAGACGATTGATACTAAATTTGGGACTATTGATCATGGTTCTTTAGAGTGATGGTGAGACCCCATGGAGTGGGAATGTAGAGGAGAATCAGCATGGGAAGATAAAATCCCAGGAGTGTATTAGCTGTAAAGTAGCGAGAGGAAACCACATTTTTGTTTTGCAGGGACGCGTGGACTGGAGGGGGAATCTTTAAAGAGCAATTCCCTCGAATCTTTGTTGAAGCTCGGTTCAAGGATATTACTGTTAGGGAGGCATACAGAGAGGTAGGAGGAAATAGAGTGGGATGTGAACATGATAAGAAACCTTAATGATTAGGAGGTTGATGAATTTGAGGTGCTGCTACAATTACTTTCATTGGTCAATCTTAATGGCAATAATGATCAATCAGAATGAAAACTCAAGGGAGAGTTCATTGTTAAGTCCTAGTACAATCACTTGGTAGGAAATGAAGCTACAAGTGTAGCCAGGTTTCCTTTTAAGCAGATATAGGAGGTAAATGCTCCTCCAAGAATTGCTTTTTCCGCATGAGAGAGTGTATATTGACCATTGATATACTAATGAGAAGGGGAAGAATTATAGTATATAGATGCTACCTTTGTAAGAGAGAAGCGGAATCCTATAATCATATTATATTATGATGCCCTACTATTTATAAGTTATGGACTATGGTGTATGGATCATTGGGGACTAGCAGGGTTATTGCCGGATCAATAA